TGAGCATGAAATAACTCGCGAAAGGACGGAAATCCCCCCTCCCCTTCCTCTTATACGCGAATTGTTTTCATATTAGAATATAAGGAATGGGTGGCGCGAGATGTCACCACCTTCGCAAAAGCTCTACAGCCGCACAGAAAAAGGTGAGTTGCACATGAAAGAACGGATCCAAGAAGCATGGTGCAAAAATGTATTTAATAGCTAAAAGATTAATAAGATTCGAAAATTGTTTTCTCACCGCAGTTAAAATGTGTCATTTTTTTCTCATGCTGCAAGCTTATCACGCAGAGAAACCGATGTTGGATCAACAGCTTTTTCCTAGTACTACATTAGGGTATTTAACTAATCTCGCACAGTTTTAAAAAACGATTAATTTTCAGCATTTTTAGCATGTAGTAGCAAGCACAGCTTGAAATCATCAACTATGGTTACCTTTATGATTAAACTAGTGGACTCTGCCGAAAGGCATAACTCTTTTTCATCATTTAGAAAGATATTCACCCCCCTTACATCCTCAATAAACTACCCTTACATATGAATGTGACCTCGAATAGTTCAAGCACCGAGGATTAGAGCTCGTCGGGATGCATAGTAAAGCGAGATTTATAGGTTTATCAATTAACCAATCTTTTACAATTTTGAAAAATAACATGTAGAAATTTGTCTGTCCTTTTTTTCGCTTTTCACATAAACAAACTAGTTAGCACTATCAATCTAGACTTCATTACAATATCTGCACAAATATTCACAGTTGCAGTGATAGCTTCGTTCATGTCGGCGACGATGAGTTCCAGACTCGTATTCTGTGCAAGAGGAGTTAAATCTGGGAGCATATAGGGGATTTATCCAAGGATACCAGGAGTTGAAGCAGGTTGAGATACATGTGGCATCGCAGTGAGATGGATGTGAGCATTGTCTACGACATGGTTAATTCCAGAACAGTGTCGTCTGCGAATGGGTGAGGGAGAACGCGATCTTAGCTTATTACTTAAGTCAACAGGCTTCTTTCTGTTCTTTGTATCTTGCTCATCATGTGGGACATACCATAGTTTCAAATGAGAGACACTGCCTGGATCAGTTTCCATCATAGCGAACAAATCATCGGCATTCTTAACTGTAGCAATTCTGTAGCCCATATCAGGCTGATGAACTTCAGCAAAAGAGAATTTCATCCCTTTCAGCTTACGATGAAGTTCCTCACGCAATTCCTCAGTGTTGCGGTATTTGATGACAATCTCCGGTATATCATACTCATAAAACCAGATGTTCACCGTCTTTTTTTCTGGCTCTGAAGAGGCGGAATCTTCAGCACGAGAATGGGTAGGAGCTGTTTTGCGGGGATGAAGTCCTTAAAACTTAAATACAGATAGCGCAAAAAGGTGTTCAACTGGATATGTAGCACATTACTGAGAGAAAGGAACTTGAGCAATGACTACAGCAAACGTCATAAAAATGGCTATCAG